CGCCCCACGTTGGATGTAGAGCTTACTTTTAAAGATTTTAGGGGGACGGGGAGGGGGAGGGGGAGGGGGAATATCTCAAGCTGCCTCCCCTAGGTCAGCACAGAGCCCAAAGCGGGGCTCGATCCCATGAAACATGAGATCATGCGTGACCTGAGCCGAAATCAACAGTGGGATGCTTAACCAACTGAGTCACCCAGGCGCCCCTAAAATCTTTAAAAGTAATCTCTACATCCAACGTGGGGCTCGAACTCACAACCCTAAGATCAAGATTCACACACTTCACTGGCTGAGCTAGCCAGGCATCCCTATAATGGGACCTTAAAAGTGACAAATAGAATGGAGGCCGATGGGAATGGTAGGCAGCCCCAGAGTTGTGCCTGTGGCAGGCCTGGCCTCCCTATGGTGTCAAGGCACCCCATGGCCCTTGTCCCCTCAGGCCAGGCTCATCCCTCTTCTAGGTTTAGCTCCTCTATTCCTCTGCCTACACAGGAATGCCTCCCCTCTGCTGAGCCAGATTCCTGCCCGTGTCCCACCCTTCCAGAAATTCTCACTGTGAAAGCAAACGTCCATCATTTATTTGTAGCAGGCCCAAAGCACGGATGGTGTAAGTGGTGTGTCCCGCTTCCTCCCTGTCTGCAGGGCCACCAGCTCCTGCCTTCCCCTCCAAGCTAGGGTCACTGCATAGCCTGGCACAGGTGCATGATGGCCTTGCACGGGGGCCCCCCCCCCCGCCCCAAGTTAGGGTTTCTCTCCAGCACCGCCATAGGCCTCCCCGGCAGGGCGGAGTGGACCCTGACAGGCACCTGTGGCACCAGCACGGGGCTGGGCACACACGGGCAGCCCTAAGTCCTGGCAGAGCTCCTGCTCTGGATCTCCATGCCCGTGCCAGGCCTGGCCCCTCCTCCAACCTGCTAATGGCCCCTCCTGAGGCCGCAGTCAAGGGCAAGTCCGAGTGGGGTGTCAGGAGACAACCACGCTCTCTCTGTGTGACCCGGGAAGCCATTCAGATTCTCCAGGCCTCGGCTTCCTCCTCTGGGAGACGTGGCTGGTCAGACTTAACCCACAGAGTGGCCAAGAAGAGCACACGCTCCTGGGGGTGCGGCGCCCACCCTGCCTCGGGAGATGCTCTAGCGCTTGCCACGCCACGCTCCCGTCCCGTGAGGTGAAGGGGGAAGGAGACGGCTGGCCTGGGCCGTTCACTCACGTCTTCACGTAGGGGTCCGAGTAGCCGTTGGCGTCCATGGCGGCCAGGTGTGCACAGCGCACGATGCCGACCAGCAGGCCCTGCTTCTGCGAGCTGTACTTGAGGGAGATCAGGATGCGGCCCCGCTCCTCCAGGGACTTGTCTTCTGTCTTGTCCACCTGTGGGGCAGGCAGTCACCTGGCCGTCCTCGTGCGCTCCCAGTCTCTCCCGCAGCCAGGGGCTACTGAAGCGGTCTGCTGGCCCGGTGGGTAGGGAGGGGGGTCATCCTGGCCTCAGACCCCCCGAAGGTACTTCCTGGAGCCTTCAGGGTGCAGGGGGCAGCCCCCTTGGGGAGAGCCCACATACAGCTTCGACATATTCCTGACCCCAAGCAGAACAGGGGGGCCCCTCCTGTGCCCTGGCCCCTGCCCGGGGGTGCCTTGGGGATCAGACCTCAACTGTAGGTCTCCCCATCTGCCCCCTCTGCCCCCCCACCCCAACTAGCCTGAGGGTTTCCACTCCCTACCCTCCTGAGAGCACGGTTCCCACCGTCTGGCCCCTGCTCTTCTGGAACTTCTTCTCCCGACCCTCCATCCACCTGGACACACCCAGCTAGAGGCCCCAGGGTCCCTCCTTGGGCCTCTCTGGTAGGCTCCTCTCACTGAAGTCCCAGCCACATCCCTTTGCCCACGACGGTTCTCTGCCTGTCACTCAAGTGACGTCCCGTGTGGCTCCTCATTGGCAGGGCTTCATGCCTACACCTCTCCGGAGATGGGACTCCCGTGAGGTGAGGGAAGGGCCACCTCCCCTAACTCCCACACCCAGAGCAGACAGGACTAATTGGCCACCGAATTTACTCTAAGCTCAGAAGAGACCTCAGCATCTTTCTCGACACAGTGCTGGACGGCCATTATTAACAGCCCAGACCAGGCACGGGGGTTTTAACCGTCTGCCACTCGGGCCTGGTGCTTTGTGTGTGATGGGCTCAGTAAACAGCGGCTTGTGCTAGTTTGGGTGACGGGTGAACATGAAACGATATAGATGAGCAGATTTTCAGCTGCTTTTTGGGGGGGGCGGGGTTCATTATACACTGGGTTGTTTCATAGGAAGACCATTGGATCGGGTATTGTTCAGTACTTACTGAGAACAAATAACGTTCACAGACCACATAAAAACCTAAGATGTGCCATCAAAGCGTGTCTTTACTGCCAGAGCACTGATCTTAAACCGCATTCCTTGGTTACCGCGTGACTGAGACCGGACCAGCGAGCGACTAGCAAATCCAAGCGAGGCTTGGCGACACCCTGATCACGCCCCAAGCACAGGCACGCGCGTACTGTCACGCATCCACGTGCGTGAACACACGCATGTGCTCCACCTACTTGAGAACGTGCCCACACGCATTTGCACACGCACCCACATCCCTGTGCGCTCCCATCCCCACACAGCGGTTTGTCATGCCAGGGTTCACAATTCAGGAACACAGCCATACTAGGGGTTGATGTTGCCTTTTAGAAGTGACATAGATCATTCGGAAAAAGTGGTTTTTGGCTAGTGACTCGTGATAAAATAAAAAAGGTTATATCCATCCATCATTCAAATGTCTAGGAGTTGGAAAGAATATGACAAGGGAATAAAATTTGATCAGGTTATGCAAAAAGGCAGAGTTGGGATCTTGGCCTCGGGCTGACTTTTTTTTTCCAGGGCTGGACTAGGGCCAGCCTGCACGGAGCATTTGTCCCAGGGCCCGGGCCCTACCAGGGATGAGCCTTCCCCTTGCCCAGGCCTCTGGGGGAAAAGTGCCCTAAAAGGGGGGTTGTGCCCTCAACACCAGGCTGCTGGAGGACCTCAGGGTCCTGGGGCCCCCTGGCCAACGCCTCCCACCACCTCTTCTGAACAGAGTAAAGGCCAGGCCTCCAAGAGCTGGAATAGGGGATGGGGCGGGGGGAGGGAGACACAGATGGACAGAGGTTGGGAGGGCTCAGCTGCAGCGGACAGCAGGGGGCAAAGTTGATTTTGGCCATTTCTAGGAAAGGATTAATTTTAGGCTCCTCTAGGTGTCTCACAGGCACCTCACGCCTGTCGTGCTCCCGGAGCATCCCCAGCGGCTCTTCCCATGGCCCTCCACATCACAGTGACCTCTGATCTTTCCAGGCGCTCGACCCCCCCCCCCCCCCGGGGGGGGGGGGGGGGAGGTACCAGCACACCCACTCCTCCTCCGCTGTGCACCCCATTGCCCCGCCGCTGGGTCATACTTATCCCCCCACGGCTCTCCCCACCCTCAGTCTCCTCTCCCTCCGAGCCTGCGCCCAGGGAGCCTGTTAAGACAGTCAGAGGCCTTAGCCTCTGCGTGGCATCCCCCTGCCCCCCACCATGGCCCATCTCGCTCACGGTGAAGAGTCCCTCCCAGCTCCCTCCCCCACCAACCTCTGATCTCCCCTCCTAGGACCCAGTCCCATCATTCTCCCTGATCCACACAGTGAGCCTCTTGCTTGTGCCTCTAACAGAGCCGGCTATTCCCTCTGCCAGGAATATTCCCCAAACCTCCATCTAAACCACTGGCCACTCGTGCTTTCCTTCGTGACCCTGAGCACTGTCTAACCTAGGCTCTATTTGGGTAACTCCCCTGGTTTTGAATCCGTCTCCTGCCCAAGCTCCACGAAGGCTGGGATTTTTGTCTGCTTCCCCAGCACCTAAAACCAGGTCAGGTGTATAGTAGGTGCTCAATAAATGCCACTGGCCCTGAGCTGCCAAGCAGGGGGGGAGCCCAGGTAGCCTGTGGAGCCCCATCCCCCACTCACCGGCAGCTGCTTCTCCAGGCAGATGCTGAACGTCTTGGTGTGATTGGGCTTCAGCTTCTTCAGGGGCACGCGCGTCTCCCCGATGAACTCATTGTGGCGGAATTTGTCCTCGTCACACACGGAGATCCTGGAGGACAAGAAGCCAGCTCTTCAGATACGAGGTGGGGGCCGGGTGGGCGGTGCTCTCTGTTTGCTTTCAAAGTCGTAGGGATGTGCAGGGTGGTTGGGGACGTGGGCAGCAGGGCCAGCCCGAGGGGGGAGGCTGGGGCGGGGCGTGGGTGAGGAAGGGGCCCGGGGCCCTCACCCACCGCAGGGTCTTCCGGATCATGTCTTCGTCTGTGATCCCGTAGTAAGTGAGGGTCTCATTCCATGTGGGGTTCAGAGTGTTTCGGAGAGTTTTTGTTCGAAGTTTATTTGCCTGGCGAGAGCAGAAATGATGCTGTGAGTGTCAGGGAGTCCAGGCCTGCTGGGCCCCCAACACGGAGTAGGCCTAGGGGAAGAAGGTTGTTAAATTGGCTGGCTAAAACATGGAGGTCGGGGCGCCTGGGTGGCTCAGTGGGGGGAGGTCATGACCTCATGGTTTGTGGGGTCAAGCCCCGCTGAGAGGATATCGCGGAGCCTGCTTGGGATTCTCCCTCCTTCTCTCTCTGCCCCTCCCCTTCTCATGTGTGCATGTGCACATGCAAGCTCTCTCTCAAAAAATAAGCTTTAGAAATAAAAAATAAAACATGGAGATTTTCCAGGTGAGCCGGGCAGGCTCAATGCAATGTGATTATAGGGCCCTTGAAAGCGGCAGGGGGAGGCAGGGGGAGGCAGGGGGAGGCAGGGGGAGGCAGGG